TAGTAGACAAATTATATAATAAAGAAAAAGAATTCATAAAAGATAAAGAGATATTAACTTTCTTAATATTTTCTTTATTCTTCTATTATATAATAAAAAAAGATATTTTTTTATTACTAAAAACATTAAAGGCCTATTAATTCTTATTACATAATCCTTATATCTTATTATACTAAGGGGAACTATAACATATAAGAGCAATAAAGTTCTTTACTGTAAGGAAACCTTAAGTCCTTGTATACCTATAAGAGAACCCTTGTACAGCAATATCCTAGGGACCAGGATCAGTAAACGTATAATTCAAGGCAAGTAACTTAATCACATTAGTTAACACTATGGAAATAAAGAATCAGCTTAGAAAGGTTATATATTACATTCTTAATGCTTTTACTCTATTCTTAATTTTATTATATAATATAAATAGGTTAAGTGTATATTTTAATAACGTTAATAATATAATTATATAGTAAAATAAAAAACCTATTCTAGTTATACAGAAATAAAGTTACCTATTCTTTAACCTTAGTTATATAAAGGCTAGCATATTCTTCATAAAAGAACAACTCTAAAGGCTTTATAGACAATTTAGATATCCTTATATAAACCGTCTTTATTACCTCCTAAAAAAAGCTAAATATTATAATATTAATATTAATATTCTAGAAAAAGTCTAGAAGTTTTATTATTATTATTAATTATATAACTTAACACTAAAGAGGTTTAAGTTTATATTTAAAGACAAAAGCTACTTTAACTATAAGATAGTTATAGATATTATATAACTAAGAGACAAGAACGCTTTACACGTTATTAACACAAAGACAAGCTTCTAAAAAGCTACCTTTCTAAAGTCCTTATCTATATAAGATACATAGAATATACTTTATAAGTACTAAATCAGTACATATATTAGTCTACTAAACTATATTATATATAACCTAGGTATAAACTTTATATTAATAGAATTTAAGAACTATATTAATATTATAAGTATATTATATAAAAAAATACTAATAAAAGCCTACTAAGTAATAAGTAAAATAAAAAGAGCTTATACTCCTTTAAAGTATATATATAATATCTTATATATTAAGCTTAAGCATAATATAAACAAAGAAACCATCCTTTAAATAGCTATAAAGGTATTAAACAACATAGCTGGTCTATATAGTATTATACCTACACTACTTATCTTTAAGATATATCTAAGGATTAACAAGGACTTACCTCTATTACCTAAAATCACTTAAAGGGCAAAAGTAATCCAGAAGATAATAAAAATACTTCAGAGCATTTATATAAAAGTAAAAATCAATTATACAATTAACACTAGAAATAGCCTTAACCTCTAAAGCATACTATTACTACTGATTTAAAGTAAGGTTCTAGTATAAAAAAAAAACAAGAAATAAACTAGACTATATAAAGTCCAGGCTATAAAAGGCTATATAGTAATAGTTAAAATAATTAATAGTTCTATATAGTTTTATATAATATATATTAAACTATACTATTAAAACATAACATAATTAGATTTAGATATTATATAACCTATTCCTTAAAAACAACTAAACAAAAAAAAAAGACTAAAAAAAGGCTAAAAAAAGACTATACAATAATCACTACATACTAATTAGGTATTTCTATCTTAGAAAAAAAAAGACTATAAAAGTTAACAGAAAAGTTACAGCTTAACAATATAATTATAACACTAAGTACTTTATATAAAAAGTTAAACTAAACAAAAATAAACAACCTTATTAACCAAAAAATCTTTACCTTTATACTATATAATCTAAAAGAGCATAATTACCTCTATATCTATAAAATATAAATAGTATAAGAGATTAAGAACTTATTATCTAAGCTATATAAAAAGTTAAGACTTATTATATAAGGGTATAAGGACTAAAAGAAAGAAGAACTCTTAACCTAGGTACCTACTATTTAATAAATAAACTAAAGGCTTATACTTACAATTAGACCTACCCTTATACAAGACTACAAATATAAAAAAAAACTTAGAGACATAACTTAAGCATATACATAATTAAATAATCATCTAACTAAGATAATTATTATATAACTACCTAAAAAGTTAAAAAACAAATACCCTAAGAACACACTTCTCTATATTTTAAAACCACTATATAGCTTAACAAAGTTAAGCTTATACTAGTACAAAACCTATTCTAAGTATTATAAGAAAGATCTAAAGATAATAAAGTTAATATATAATTTATACTTATTATATATAATAAAAGGACTAAATACTTTTAGGATTATAGTTATATAAATAAATAATATACTTAGCTTTACTACACTTACTTTCTCCTAGAAAGAAGAAGAAGAGCTAAGAAGAAAAGGACTTTATATAAAACTAAAGACTACCTTATTACCTAATAGTAAAATTAACTTTAATAAGAAAAAGATTTAATTACATAATAACTATATTACCTTTACTTAAAAAGGCTAAGTAAAATACCTGAAACTTATTAATCTTAATATATATAATATATATTAATAGTATATTTCTTAAAAAGCAAAAGGAATATACCTTATATTTATCTATTAACTAAAAGCATTATATAACCTATTAACTATAACTTAAAATAAAAAACCTAATAAAAAAGATATTAAAGCTTTAAATATATAACTTTAGTAATAAATTAATAACCCTATATAAGGTCTTATATATATCTCTTTTGATCTTTATTATATAAAAATATATATCTTTATAAATAAATTATTTATAAATAACTTAGATTTATTATTATAACTTAGATTTATTATTATATTAACTAAAAAAATAACTTATATAATAATAAACTTTTAGATTAAAAAAAACATTATATATTAAAGTTTAATAAAGTATAAAAGAGTTATATAAAATATACTTATAAGTAAATTATATAAGATAATTATAAGATTTAATAATAAAATATCTCTTAGTATAACACTTACTAAGATCTTTTATATATTATAACTCCTAAGGATTTTAGTTATTATTTATTTAGACTTATAATCTCTATATAAATACCTTATATAACTAAGCATAATAAATAAAAAGAGGCTTATAATTAATATTATAAGTCTATATAAGTTATATAAAAAGAAAAAGATCTTAGAAATAAGATAAATTAATAGGAAAAATAACTCTATTAATGCTTTTACTAAGAAATTACTAAACTTAGTACTTAAACAATTAATTACAATAAACATATTAAAGATTTAAATTAAAGTATATATTAAAAAATTAAAAGAAAACACTTAATAATTAATTTATATAACCTTACTACTATATATTACTAATTATCTAAAAATAAAATATAACTTTAAAAAGGTATTTAATATACCTAACTACTACTAATTCTAATCTTAATATTAGATTATACCTCTACTATATCTATAACCTTTTTAAATTACTATATTATATAATTTATCTAATTATTATATAAGATTTCAAAAAAAAGAAGTTATATAATTACTCTTTATTAATAACTATAAGGCTAACAGAAGTGCTAAAGAAGTAACTACTCTTACTAATGTTCTTACTAAGCTTGCTACTAAGTATATAAGGCTTATAAGCATTAGTGACATTAAGAGCCTTGTAGTTACTAGGGCTACTATTATCATTATCATTATCATTATTACCCAGGTTGTTAGACAAATTAACATCTTAACAGTAGTAGGTGTAGTAAGTGTTATGTAACTACTAGATGCACTTAGCGTAGACGCTACCCTGAAAGATAGGAATGCAGGTGTATTAGCAGAAGCGTAGAGAGTTAGTAGTTACACATTTATTGCTACAAGTAATAACCGTATAACTATAAGACTAAACTAAAACCATAAGAAAATAGCCTTAGTAGTAGATAATACTAGTAATAAACTACTAAATAGAAGTATTACTAATAATACAAATCTTAATATTATATAACAATATATTAATAATAAGATACTTTTTATTCTATAGTTAAGGTTAATATATAAAAACAAAGTAAGAACAAAAGTAATATATATTAATAGCTAAAGCTAATAGAAGAGCATAATTATTAGCGTTACTAGTTAAAAGATAAAGCTAATAACCACTAAATATATTAGTATATATACTAATATTACTAAAAATTAAACTACTAAAAGTAATAAAAGATATAATAGATTAATTATATAAAATACTATTAATAAATTAATAAAAAGAAATATATAAGAAAAAATCTTATATATAAGTAGTTATTATTATAGTTAATTAAAAAAAAAAAGAAGATTATTATTAATTAATTATATAAGAAAATAATATATATAAAAAGTAAAAAAAAAAAATAAAAAAAAATTAAATAAATAAAAAGGATTTTAAATAGCTAAAGTTATTATATAAAAAAAAAAAGGTATATTAACAATAAAAACAAAAGTAAAGTTAATAAGAAAAGAAGAAACTTTATTAACATATAACTTACCTACTTAACTAGGTAAAAAGAAAATAAATAATTACTTAAAGTTTTAATATTAGTAATTTATTATATAACATAAGTGGCCTAACCTATAAGGTTATATAATAAGGTTATTAATATTATAATTAGCATAACCTAATTAGACACTATAAAAAGTTATATAGTTATAAAAGAAAAGTTATAAGTATTAGAATAATAGTACTAGCTAGTTATATAACATATATAACTTAAGGATATATATTATAGTAGAGGGCATAGACTAGATATTTAGCCCTTGGTTATTTATTAAGGGGATTAAAAGTATATTCATACTGAACTAACTTAGGGACGTATAAGATCATATATCTTGTGTATAAAAGCCAAGCCTTGTAGTTAGGAAGATAATTACAGAAAAATACATCTTTAGTTCACCTTAACTTTAACCCGAGTATAATTATATAAACAGGTTCTCTTAGAAAGAGAGAATCCATTCAACAGTTATATTATATATTAGTTCTAGATAGAACCTCTATCTTATACAGCCTAATGTTAAGTATAAGCCTATTACCTAGCCTAAAAGACCTTAAAACCACCAGGAACCCTCCTCTGGAAAAAGCCTTCTGGGTCATACTTCTTACTTGCAGCCTGCATCTTAGCAACATTCTCAGCACCCCAGCTCTTGTATACGCTCTGTGAACCATCGGCGTAGTTAGTGTAGATGAAGTCAATAAGGTATCCGCGGCGACACAAAAGGTCTCTTTGAGTACGAACTACGTTAAGAACGGCCATGCGGACCTTCTCATCGTCGGCCTCATTGTCGTATGTGGCCGTCAAGAGCATGATGACGTAGTCGGTTTTACCCGCCTCGAGGCCGAAGAGGTTAGTCCCGTTAGTCACGGACTGCGGCTGTGTCAGGAATTCCATGAAGATACCCTCAACGTCGGCTACGGCGCTGATACTGCGCTCCCAGATCTTGAAGAGCTCCATGTAGACAGTTGCAGGCGGGTTCCGGAACGACCAATCAAGTTGGAAGGCCCTAGGTATACAGGAAAGATAAGAAGTCAGCGCAGTGTCGTTGGTGTGGCAAGGGACAAGCTAGGTGGATGATCAACTCACCGTGAGGTTGTAGGCGGGATATTGGCCCCAAAATCATTGACTACGTCAGCAACGTTGGCAATTTCAGCAACACCGCCCTTGTTGGGAATATCTGTAAATCCACTATAAACGGGTGGCTCGGTGATGTTATCTGCATGCCACAGGGCGTTCCTAACACTGTGGGCGCCACCGACGTAGTCAAGGAAGATGCCCATCATAGCGCCATCATCAAAATGGGCTGGTTCCATGAAGCGGCTGAAGGCCTGAGCCTGGGCCTCCAATATGCTGTCATTATATTCGTACTCTAGGAGGCTGTACCACATGCCATCAGAAGGAAAGGTCGGGACATCGAAGCGCGTGATGATGCCGAAGTTGTTGCTGCCTCCCTTGAGCGCCAGCCAGAGATCGGGATGGGAGGTCTCGGTCACATAGGCGATCTCGCCACTCGCGAGAACAATCTCGTAGCCGTATATGTTATCAGAGGCCCAGCCATATCTGCGCGCCAGAAACGTCATGCCACCTGAAATAATAAGTAAAGAAAGATTAGCTAACCATATAACCAGGGAATGTGTCATGTTGGCCTCCGCCATACGCACCTCCACTAAGAAAGCCGCCTACGCCGAGGCTTCCAACACGGCCTCCCATGACGGTGACGTTAAACGGCGTGAGATGATGATAAACGTCGTGCCAACGGCCGCCGGCACCAAGACTTGCAAACTTCTTATCCGCGCTAAGGATCGTCTGGTTTATAAGACGCATGTCTACAGTGACGCCGCCGTCGATGTTGGCGGCCCCGCTCCAGAGTGTGTGGCCGCCGCCGCGGATGGCGAAACGGGCGTCCTGGGCCTGTCGCGGGATCATCGCTTTAACGAACTCGCTGACTTCGGCCGTTGTGGTGGGCATGAAGATGCAGTTGGGCTTCATGTTGCGCTCTTGGCCGCTATAGTACGACGATCGGGTTGAGGCGTATGATGCCGTGTCGTTGGAGGAGATGACGCGCCCTGGGAACTGCGTGTTGAGAACCTCGCATGTCGTCGGATCGGTCGATACAACAACGGCCGGCAGCGCGGCGACGATCGCACGCCAAAGGAAGCGAGACATACTTAAGTGCCGTGCCGGTTTCGTGTGAAGGCCAATGGAACTTGGCTGAGATAGCACAATCGGATAGGGGGCAGTGAAATTGAATTGCCCTTAATTTCAGTGTTGAAGCTGAAAAGATATGCGTGCGAACTTCTTGAAAAGTGTGATAGCTCAATATTAGAAGATAAATTTTCTGTCCATCTCCCTTCTGCTTCTCTATATATGAATGTCGATGGAAGTAAGCACCCATGTACTTCTTTAGCTTCATGCAGGAATGTTTCCAATTGTGTCGTCGACGGTTAGACTAAACCAATACGACACCGCTCGAATTTTCCAACACGAAAACGGCCATCGGACCATGAATTGGTTGGGTCAACGTTTTCGGAGGAATAGTAAGAGATCCATGGATCAATCATGATATTTCCTTGAAAGCCCATTCTTCAACGTCGGGCGGTGCTCCCATCTAGTCTCCGGTCCGTATTCCACCCAATAACGGAACGGCATACTGCCTAGGTCGACCCAAGATGTTGGGTCTCTCATCGCGCTTGGCGCTGCCCCTTTGCGGGTTGTGCCGCAACCGAGGAAGGATTTTGAGGGCTGGAAAATTCATCTCCGTAGAATCGATGCATAGAGTGTGAGACTTCTGCGAGCGGGGCCGAGACTTGATCAGGCGCCGGCCAGCCCATGTCCAACGATATCCTCCGCAGCTACTCACTTCTCGTACGACTGTGTGTGGACCCGACGGCGGGCAAGGCGGGGCCTTTCCTGTCTTCCGAATCCCGCGCCAGACGACCCCTGCAGACAGAGACATTTACCCAAAGTAGTATATTCGCCCGACGATGGGGGGCTGGCATGCAGAGAACTTTGCGGATGAGGTTTGCACCTAAATACGGAATTGCTTGTATTGGTCCGCGCATATTTTAGTGCCAATAAGTGAAGCCTTAGCATAGATCCAAATCCACCGACTGGCTGGAGCAATTCGTGGCGTTGCAGAGCTCCAATAAACCTAAAGGCGCCGAGGTTTGGAGCCGAGCACCTACTAATACTCGGAACAGATGCGAGAGCTGTAGGTAGGCAAGTAGACTTCCCCTCAACTCCTTTACATTCTACTCTGCAAACACTCATCATGGCAGAGACACCCTCTTACACGAAGCTGACGCACTCGACCACCTATCCCTCCGTCGACCCTTCCCTTCCCGCCCTCTCTACCAATGGCAAGGTTGTCGTGATCACGGGGGCCTCTGGCGGCATTGGCCGCGCGGCCGCGCTGTCGTTCGCCCGCTCGGGACCCAAGTCGCTGATCCTGCTGGGGCGGCGTCCAGAGGCACTGGCTGAGACAGCGCAGCTGATCCGGTCGGCCCATGCCGCGCTGGCGACGGAGACGCACGAGGTCGACCTCTGCGAAGCGGAGAAGCTGCGGGCCGTTTTTGATGGTGTGACCGGTCGGGTGGGCGCCATCGACGTCGTGGTACACAGCGCCGGCGTCCTCGCGCCCGTCGCGCCTCTGATAGAGGCCGACCCGGCTACGTTCCTCGACGGCTACAAGACGACCGTCGTCGGCACCCTGGCCCTGGCCCAAGCCCTTGTGAAGGCCAATCAGGGCGCTTCAGCCACCTTCATAAACCTGACGACGGCCGGCATCCTCTTTCCGCCCTTTCCAGGCATGGGCGCCTACGTCAGCAGCAAGATGGCGGCCGTCAAGCTCCTCCAAGCTTTTGCCGCCGAGAACCCGCACGTGCGCCTGCATCATGTGCATCCCGGTTTCCTTGACACCGCCATGTCCGCCCAGCTCGCCAAGACTACCAAGCTTCCCTTCAGCTTTGACGACAGTAAGTCCCTGCATATTTGTATGCCACAGCCAAGCCTCGTATGCTGACCTTTCCTTCTCTTCTAATTTTCAGTCTCGCTTCCGGCCGATTTTCTCGTGTGGATTGCTTCGGCCGAGGCCAAGTTCCTCAACGGAAAAATCGTTTTCGCAGCGTGGGATGTCGAAGAGCTCAAGAGCCGGGAGAAGGAGATTGTCGGTGGGCCTCCGGGAACTGGTGAGCTTTGGCTGGGCTTCCAAGGGTTCCCGCGATACATTAGGGGCCAGGCCTTGGGACATGCATAGTGACGTGGATAGACTTACCATATTTTTGGATATTTTCTACAATAAGTAATTTGCCCGATGATGTAACAAATCATTCCTTATTCTGCCAATTTTTGTGGGAAATGCGACAGTTCATTGCATCGCCTGTATCATAAGTTTTCTTTGTGCCATGGATAATCCTGTATCATGTAGGCTGGGGTTTAACTCCACTAACTGTTTGCTTAGTACCGAAATTTATACGAGGGAAATCTATTACATTGAATTCTATGTACAAAATGATGGAAATTCCAGAGGGGTGCAGCCCGTGAAGCCTCACGAGACTAAGCGGCCTGCAGTTTGCTGCGTCACGGATTTCAACCTCAATCGAAGCAGCATTACAACAGGTTTGACTATGCGGGCCGTAAAGGTAATGTCTTGTCCTTCTGCACATTCAAGTTCATCGTTGTATCTCTCCGAATAGCGTAGAATAAGTTTGGCGATCTTGCTCAGGCCCTCGATGCCGCCATGTTCGTTATCTGCCAAGCTGGTCAAAACCTCGACCGGTGTTGACGGTGACACCGTCGGCCATCCAAAAAGTTCCGGTTCTAGATAATATGGATTGCGGCCGATACCGTCGGCAGTACTGTTCATTAAGCATGATGCCTGGCTGGTGGCGGGATTGGTAAAGGGCATGGTCTCGTCGGTATGACGACATACCGTGTCCATCAAGGCGAGGCATCCGGACGCCACCAGAAGCGCTACGGCAGGCTGGTCAGAGCAGGGGCAGACCAGTATCGTCAAGAGCATTTGGCAGGCCATGGTGGTGCCGAGGCCGGGTGCTGAGCGGTGTAGCCCCTTCTGGGCAGAGTCAAGCTGCTCGAGTATGGATGCCGCAGTTTTGACACAGTCGCCCCCGGTGCTTGTGTTCGTATCTTGTGTCCAATTGCTCGACGGGTCGGGGACGCAGTCTTCTATAAAATCCAAAAAGTTGTTCTCTGGCCTTTGCGTTGCTGATGAGACTGTGCCGACAATGCTTACATTGCTCCAGTTGAAGTCACCAACTGATTCGCACGCATAGCTGATTTGTTTCGGTGGCGCGGCGGGATATCTCTGTTCATTTTGTTTCTGCTGATTTTGCCGGTGTTGTTGGTGCTGGTGCTGCTGCTCGCTCTCTCGCCGTAGCTTATGTGGGCGGCCTGCCCGTCGGGCTGGGCTGTATGTACATAGCTCTTTGAGGCCGCTGCAACGGGAACACGCAGGTTTACCGCTATTGCATCGGACCTTGGAGGCAGAGCAGAGGTCGCAAGAGCTTTTGAGCTTCTGGTTGAGCAAAAGAGTTGAGTATGGTTGCATCGCCGATCGCGTTTGCCAAGATGATCCAGTGAGGGTAAGGGAGGGGGGGTTCAATAGTGAAGCTACATACCATTTAATATAAAACTCTGGAAATGAGATTGTTGTCTAGCATGGCTAGGAATTCTTATACGGTTTCATTTTTCTTCCCCTTTCTCGCTCTTTACCTCCCTTCGTCTTCCCATCCAAGACAGTTTCTCCTGCGTGAGCTGACTGCGCCGCACCCTACTTCCAAAGCATGTAACACCCCCACAAGACATGGCCCATGCAATACTATTGGAACTTTTGTCCAACAACAATCTATGGCCTGATCAATGCCTGCCAACGCCTACATCTACGTAGAAGCAACGCTATCTAACACTCAAGTGCTATTTTACTACTGACCTAACACAAGATCTTTCTGTAGCTTTTGATCCCACCTCCTACGCCCCCCCACCCTCTAGCAGCGGCAGGGCCGCTGCCACCCGTCTTCTAGGCCCTTAGATACATATGTTAGATGCTAAAGGATTAGGTGAAATTCTGGCTAGCTAGCTAACTAGCTAACTAGCTGGTTAGTTAGCGATTTTCTTTAATCTTTATATAGGTTGCTACTAGTTACTAGAGGGCAACTGCGTTAGGCCCTACTTCTTATTAATTTTAGTTTGGTAGCGTACTAGTGTACCTAATTAAAAAGCCTGTCTTTATTATTTTTAAGCTAATTAAAGCAGGCGCTAGTTACTTAACTAATAGTTATTTAGACGCACGGACGTGTATAAATCTTACGTAATAGTAATTTTTTTTACTATAAATATGTAACTTTACTCTAATTAACTACTTAGCTAGTTAAATAATTAAGTTTAATTATATTTCTCGTTATTTTTAACTATATTATAGTAATCTTTATATTTAATAATATATGTTTTTAAATAAAAGTCTGTTGTTATATATTATAATTATAGTTACTAGAGAGTAGACATTTTAAAGTGTGTGTGTTTTTCTATCTCTCTAGTATATCTAGAAAATAAGAGAAGGAGGTATATATAGGCTGCCTATAGTTACTCTAGAATCTTTATATAGAGTAGACTATTAAGAAGTAAAGCTAGGTATTACTAAATAAATCTACTTATTATTAGGATAGCACTATTATATATATATAATACCTAAGAAAGAGAGAGTGTACAGACTAAATACTTAGTACTTAGGGTGTTTTACTATAGAACAGATATACATACTTAGCTTAAACTAACTTATAATGTATAAGCTAGATATATCTACTTATATAGAAGGTAAGTTAATAGTTAGAAAAGATAGTTATAGAAATAACATCTTTAGTTTACTCTATCTTTATCTTAAGTATAATTATATATAGAATTCTCTTATGTATAAGAGAGTCTGTTTAACACTTATAACATTATATACTTTATATAATTAAGTAATAGTAAAGCTTTAGTACTTTAGGTATAAAACTTCCTTAAAGGTTTATATATCTACTAGTTCTACTAATAGTAAAGTCTTTTAGCTTTTATACTAAGTTAGAAAGTATCTGTATTTAGTAACATTAGTATCTTTAATAGTAACAGCAGAAATATCTCTATATATAATTTAGGTAGGTACTCTGTAGTAATAACTAGGAGGGCCCGCCTTATGTTTATACCTCTATTATTTATAAAGCAGCCTACTACCTAAAACGGCCTAATTAGCTATTTCTACTAAGTAGGTTACTAAAGAATAAATAACAACATATAAAAAAGCCTATTAAAGACCTTATAAATAATACTAATACTAAGAATAAAGTATTTCAGTCTTACTACTTTATACTTAAGAGATACCCTCCTATTAGCCTCTTGTAGCATAGAAGTACTATAACAATATAAAACTAAATCTTAGGGGCTTTTTATTATAGTTAAATTTCTAACAGTAGTGTTTTTTACTAATAGGTAGCTAAGGCTTAATACTCTTAAATAGTACTACTAGATCTTATTAGCTTATTAGCTTACTACTGTCTTATTAGTAAAGGTATAGTAATTAGTTATATACTAAAGGCGTAAAGTAGCTTATATAGCTTTATAATAAAAGAATAACTTAGGAGTTACTTAGAAGTAAATTATAAGGGCTATTAAGGTCTAAAAGGTATTTAGAGAAAGTATTATAAGTTAATTACTAAAAAGCTATAAAAAGTAATCTATTTACTAAAAATAAATATCCTTATATCCTATAGTCTTAATATTAAGATTAACTTACTTAAAGTTACTCTTTATAATAGACTAATTCTTAGTACGTTAGTCTTTAGCATAAGACTACTTATTAAATATTAGTCCTTTTTTATTATTATGTAACCTTCTTTAGTTCTTTTATTTCTAAGGAGTTATCTATTTAACCTTATTTTTTATTTATATAAGTACTATACCTTTTTAGTTAGTCTTTATAAGACTTCTATTACTTATAACTTATTAGGTTATAACATTAGGGTTTTTTTCCTAAGGTCTTATCCTTAAGACCTACATAAGTAAGTTATATCTCTTAGGTTAAAAAGTCTTTAAGTTTTATATTCTTATTTTTTTAGAATACTAACACTATATTAAGCTATATAAAAAAGTCTAAGTTATAAGGAACTAAAATTAAAGATTATAAACGTTATAACCTTTTAGTATATATTAAATCTTATTTAATTAAACTAAATATACTTTATACTTATTATTTTTATATAAAGGTTATATATTAATATAGTAAGAGCTTTTTTATTATTGTTTATATATTAAGCAGAAGAAGCTTTATAATAGTGTCTTAGTAGCTTTTACTTATAAGTTTCTTTTTTATTAGTAGTATATCTTACTAATGTTCTATAGTCTAAAGGTTAAATATATAACTAAAGAAATAAGATAAAAAAAAGAAAAAGCTAGTAAAAAGCTTTTTACTCTTTATGCTTAGTTTATATAGCTTTAGTTATAAATAGTTAAGTTAGTAAGTTATTTATTATAAATTTATATAATTTATAAAAAGGTTTATAAAAGGTAGTAAAAAAACGTTTTATTAAAGAATACAGAAGCTAGATAAAAAAGATAGGCTAATTCTAGTTTTAGATTCTTATAAGTCTTAGGTTATAAGTAACCTATAGGCTCTAGAGGTTTTTAATAATACTAACTAAGGTTCTTTTAGACTTAGTAAGAGTTTTACTAACTTAGGCCTACTAGTTTAAAAGTTAAGTTTTACTAAAAGTTATAATAGTTCTATATAAGTTACTAAAAGTACTAGAGATTCTTAACAAACTCTTATAAGTTATCTTTATATCTATAGTTTATTTATGTAATAAGATATTGTTTTCTTTTATTCTTATTTTGTTTATTAATAATATATTTAACTTTATATTTTAGTTTAAGTAACTTTATAATAATATAGTTATTTATATTTAATCTTTATAGTACTAGCTTTAGTAGTATAATATAAAAAACTAAGTAAATCTTTACTATATTTAGTAAGTTAAGTTTAAAGTTAATATTTAAGATTCTTTTAATAATTTTAAAAGGTCTAAGTTTTTTATAGTCTAACTCATTACTTAGTCTTTTTATCTTAATGTTTTATTATAAAAGATATATACTATCTCTCTCTTTAAAAAATAGTCTTATTATTCTTAAGGTATTAGTATATTTTTTTATTTATTATTTAATAAATTCTAAATCCTTAGTAACATTATTTTAGATTTCTTATAATTTATTAAAGTTAGCTATAGCTTTTAGTACTTATAGTCCTTATTAAGGTTCTCTATATACTATAGGCTTAAATCTATAGTTTAAGTAAAATAAGGAGTTTAAAGTACTTTTTCTAATAGCACTATTATAAATAAATTAAGCTATTAGTAGTAGTAATACTTAATTATCTTAGTTATAATTAATATAGCATTATAAATACTATTTAAGTATTTAGTTAACTTACTTAGTCTATTTATTAGTTTATAAGTAAAAGGCTATTAATAGCTTATAATTAGCTCTAAGTTATAAAATTAGAGATTTCTAAAACTTAGATATAAATAGTTTATCTTTATCTAACATAATTTCTTTTAGTAATTTATAATTACTAATAATGTATTTTAAGAACGTATACATAAGGTCTTTTGTTATACTTAACTCTAAGTAGAAAATAAAGTAAGTATACTTTATAAGTTAGTTTACTATAACTAAAATACTATTATAGTCTGTCTTTATAAGTAGTTCTTTTAACTTTAGTAATTTAATAATAAAGTCTAAAAAGTCTAAATACTATACTTTTAGTAGTACTAGTAGTAGTTATATCTACTTATATAGCTTATAAGAACTATTTTTACTTTTCTTATACATTTTATAGGCCTTAATTACTTTAGCTACTTCTTATTTTATAACTTACTAGTTATAATACTATTAAATATACTTAAATATCTTTATAACACCTTAGTATCTATATACTTAAGCGCTATAAATCTCTTTAATTTAGTTATATATTATTTTGTTAGTTACACT